TGAATTCTATGAGTGTTCTTGTGTGAAAATTTGAAAGTTTTGCTCATAAGTCTAGCTCTAACATAAGAGTTGAAAGCTTTGCAAACTTTCCCTGTTTTCCCTTTTAAAACAAAGATTCCAAAAAGGTCCTTGGCTTGGACTTTCTAGGAAAGTCTAAATGATTCTAGGAAAAACATTTGGTAACACTTTTTTTGAGAGCCAATGCAAAATATCTTATCAATTGAAATTGTTCTAAATCTAGATGATATATCTAAATTTTCTCATTTTAAGATTTTATACAGGTCATGACAAAAAGCTAAAACCATCTATACCAAGCAATGTACAATTATTTGTTAGAAAACTATAATTTCCCTATAAAATTCATAGCTCTGTTTCTGAGAATTTTGGTTTTCTTTGTTTCCATTTCTTTCATTGTGGCCATTTTGGCAGCCAAAAAGAGCTTCTCTTGGTGTTTCTTTGAGGTGTATGAAGAACATAAGAACATATCAGACAAAATAACGTGTAAACTAAGGAGAATTATGACATTTCAAATAGGTAAAATAATAATAAAAAAAAACAAACAAAAACATAAAAACTAATACATTTGTACAGGTGCACTTTCTTGCTGCAAATCTCCCATTCTAACACATCCCAAAGGTGTTCTATTGGATTCAGATCTGGTGACCGCGAAGGCCACTGAAGAACACTGAACTCATTGTCATGTTCATGAAACTAATTTGAGATAACTTTTGCTTTGTGACATGTTGCATTATCATGCTGGAAGTGGCCATTAGAAGATGGGTGAATTGTAGCCTTGAAGAGACAAAGGAAGAACAATACACACACCAAAATCAAAAAAGGACTAATTAAGATAAAATAAGGCAATTGAAGGCTGAATGGAGCAGACATTGTAAGTTTAAATCTCTAATCACCTCCAAGTTCAACATGAATGGACAGGGCTAAACAGGCTGAGTAGGTGGATAAATGTAAATGCACTGTTTTTTGTGCAATCACAAATACTGTGGAAATACTATTAAACAATGTTATGGTCTTTAGTATGTATGACCTCACTTACATGTTGATTTTGATTGGCTCTTGCTGAAGACACAGGTGAAAATACCACAGCAATAAAAAGACAGGTTCGCCTGTGTCTTTATGAATAACTTTGTGGCACAGAGCTGTTACTGCCAAGTTTTATGAATCTGACCCAATATATCAGTGACAGGAAAAGGCACAATAAGAAACTCAGAGCTCTTACAGAAGCAGTTGTTTGAAGATTTACAGTTTTCAACCACAAAGTTACAAACTCACAACACATTATTGTTCCACACGTAACATGTATCGTTACGCTAAGTCCTTACATTAGATCCCTGTCTTTAAAATAAGAAACAAAATCCATAACACATGAAAAATGCCAAGTCACAAAGCTGCACTGCTTCAGATGACTTTGAATGGCGAAAGGCTGTTTTTTTTTTTACATTTCTCATGCCTCCTGGCCTGGCTGCTAAAGAGAGTCAGGGAGGGCAGCGTTGTGTCAGAAGTCATGAGGGGAGTTCGTAACAGCCAGGTCTTTGAACATATCCTCCGATAAACCAGCGCCTTAAAACAGCTTCTGTAACTCCAAAACAGTGTCATCATTAGTTAGCCTGGAATTGTTGACACTTTCCCACTGCTAAACACTTAATTAGCAGCACATTGTTCATTCCTTGCAGACCAATCACTGTGTAAATATACTTATTTGAGGAAAGCACACAAGCAGTCCAGAGCCAGAGTTGACACAGGCACAAAGCCTTCTTTTGCCAAACATGGTTAAATCCATTATTTCCCCCAAGGAAACAAACTGAGATGGCAGCAGTGAGATGCAAATGTCATCAGCGCTACAGTTCGTACCAGCTTGACAGAGTTGCAGACTGTACAGTGCCATTTGGACTGCTCACCCACCCTTTGGACCAGTTTGACCACAATGGAGCTTCCTGCTGTACAACATCTGCATGAACTGACCCTCCTGATGATACTGCTGCATGCATAGACTCGAACCATTTAATTATAGCCATTGTTTTACCTGCTTTTCTCCCTTTTCTGTATTTTAATATTTATATTTGGTAGAAATTGGTAAAACCTTATTCTCTGTTCATACTGTTCTTGTGTTATTGTTTAGCTATCTGTTGTCGACCAGAGAAGGATGGGTTCCCCTTTTCAGTCTAGGTTCCTCTCAAGATTTTATCTTTGCCACTGCTATATGTAAATGAGAGCTGTCTCACTGGATGTCATTCAAAAATCACTCCAGGCTGAAACACTCCTTATAACTTCAATCAGTTCAGAGTACATTGAGGGTAACCTTGATTTACAATGTAGCTAAGCATTAAAACAGAGATCAAGGGGTTGGAAAGAAATAAATATTGAGTAAATATTGAAATAAAAAAGTAAAACATAACATATCAAACCAGTAAAAAAAAAAAAAACTAAATAAATAATAAAAAATGTGTGTGTGTGTGTGTATGTATATATATATATATATATATATTTTTTTTTTTGGAGCTACCTAGAATTTGTTGCAGTACTCTGTTAATTTTGTGACACAAAGGTTTCTTTACATTTTGTGATAGTGAAACCATTTTTGACTCCCCAAAGAACTGTTTAGTGGACGGTTAAGTTTGGATTTACTGAATGCATTATATGTTTTGCACGTGCAGTGTACCCTGCTTTCACATCGTCACTACTGGAACAAAACTTTGTGTCTCTAAAATGACTTTACATGAGAAGAAAAAAAACATTCTTAATTTATAATGGAGGTTAATGTAAATGTAATGTACTGTAAAGATTTTTTCCAAGGAATTTTATATCATTTCTGTTGGTCTGTTCATCATGAAATGTTAATACAATGCAATGGGGTAGCTTGAGTAAAAAATAACAAAAATGGAGATACAAGCATTTTGCATGACCATGACAACAGTGCTAAAACCACATTTGTTGATATTTTTTGGCCAATCGATATATTGATCAGGCCCTAGTAGCTAGCTAGCTAACAGGATAAATTTACCAGTATAAAAGCAACATTCCACATAAAGTAACCAAAACTACATAAATCAACAGATAACAACAATTCTACTTAAATGACATGACAAGTTGGCTAGCTAATTTGCATAAAATAAAAATAAATAACCTTTTTGCTTTGTATCTCAGAAAGAATAGACATGCTAAATTAATGTAGAGATTTCATTGCAAGTAATTTTTGAACAATTCTATTGGTCCATTCATCATCAAAATTTTCACTTAATGATTAAAGAAAAAAAGATGCAAATGGAGGGTTTTGTTCCAACAGTGACAAAACATGCAATGTAACACTCATACAGTAAACATGTAAGAAATTCGGCACCAAGAGTCAGGAGACTGGAGTATGGGTACAGCGTGGTCGATCAGCAGTCAATCAGCAGGATCAGAAGTCTAGTCTCATTCACGTGCATGCAGACAATCATGCACGGGCACAGCTTGGTCATCAGTGTGTCACCAGTCTGGTCTGGTCACTAGTCCAGTCTGGAGTCCAGTCTGGAGTCCAGTCTGGAGTCCAGTCTGATGAATACATGGTCTGACATAGTTTAAGTAGAGATACTGGGGGTCGGGGGAGGAAGCAAAGAGGGAGGGGAAGTAGGTGACAATCAAAAGGTTGGGGAAGAAGGGGGTCTGGGGTCAGGGGAGACCCCAGGGGTAAGGTGAGGTTGTTCTCACCTCAGGGGGAACAATACAGATAAAACACCAAAAGGCACACAACTGTAAGACAATACAGCTGACACAACAAAAAGACAACATAGGTTAGAGCATAGAAGAAAGCAAATGTGAAAAGACCTATACTTTCTCTCAACAGTATACAATACAATATACAATATCCAACATTTAGTGTAGGAGAACCATGGAAAATGACATCATTAATGCATTCTGACAAAGGTAGGAAATCTTACGTGCAAACTACAATGATAAACATCAGGCAGAAGGTTAGCAGGTTGTTTTAGTTTTTAGAGATCAGTAACGCCCCTCCCAGAAAGAGCATTGCCGGAAAAGATGGTACGCTGCATGAGAGAAATCTCAATGTAAAATGGCAAAGAACTTTTGCTTTTCATCATCTATAGTACATATCATTTAAAGATTCAGATAATCTGGAGAAATCTCTGTATGCAAGAGACAAGGCCAGAAACCAGTATTTGCTGGCAATGATCTTTGGGCCCTTAGGAGACACTGCATTAAAAACAGACACAATTCTCTAGTGGAAATCACTGCATGGGCTCAGAAACACTTCTGAAAACCACTGTCTGTATAAACAATTCATCACTGCATCCACAAATGCAAGTTAAAACTCTAAAACGCAAAGAAGAAATCGTATATAAACAGGATCCAGAAACGCTGCTGCCTTCTCAGTCCAGACTGTCACCCACTGATAACATAACACAGTATCCCAACTTTTTAGGAAATGAGGTTGTATATTAAATATATATATTATAGACTATACAAAAAAAAAAATAAATAAATAACTCAAAAAGAAAATGTTTGCGTTACATGGAGAAAGTTGTACTACACGTGCCTTTCTGACACAGCAGGAGAAACAATTTTTTAGTGTTTAATATTAAAATGATGTACTGTGTGTCATTTTTAAGAAATCCCTCAACCTTTTGTCTTTACCGTCTTTGGGGGGTTTAACGTCTTCTTTAAAGGGGTCAGGCCACCCCACACCCTCTCTGTAATGTGTACCCTGCAACTGAAGATATATTCTTGTAGTCTAAGATCAAATTTAACATCTGGAAGGCTAGGGGAGGGAGTAAAAGCAAAAAGTAAAAGGAGAAAGGAAGTGTTTAAAACAAGGAAGGGGAGGGGAGAATTATCAAAACATCTTTTCCTGTGCATGGGAAATGTGGGCAATTGGCCTCACGAGCCTCAGTGTACTATTTCCTGTTCGAAGAGGACATGGTTCCACTTCATTTGGCACCTGTCACATGGCACACTGAGCAAGTGAAGAAGAGCTTTCACTTGTTCCCACTACAAGGGCCAGGACAGGAGAGCTCATGTTGTTTCAGAAAGTGGATAGAAATTCACTCAGCCGTCTTCACATCCTCTAATCCAGCCCCTGCCTTCTTGTTTCCTCATCAAATGACCACATCATATCAATCATCTCCATTCCTAACATTGCAGACAGAACGCCAGCAGTTCCACACTTGTTTTTCCTCTCCCCCCACACTCCTGCCCCACCCCTCCCCCCAAGTTTACTGTCAGTAGGCTCTCACGCTAATGCTAAAGCTAACTCTAGCCATAGGGTTCCCACACAGCTGTGGTAATGCGACTCTTCACGGAGGCTTCAAGCGGACATAGAGAGGGATCTTGCGAGCATGAAGTGAGAGCATTCATCACGACTCAAGATGGCCCACTTGTCACTGAGGAAACGCTATGTTGTTTCACTCGCTGGATCTCATTCTCCCAGCCGGCACAGTCTAATCAGTTTAACATTTTTGTCTCCCTGTCTGATGGGATGTGCCACATGAGAGTAGAAGCCAAGGCATGTGTGCATACATTATTTGCTTTGAATCTAGATATGAATATTTACTTAAAAAGTCCTTAAAAGTTTTTTTTGTTAAAGTTAAAAGAAAAACAGGCTATTAATATGGTGTGTGTGTGCTGCAAGTCACCCAGTAAGCCTGAAATAATAAATTTGAAAGTCAGAAGTGTCAAATGAGGAGTTTTTCTGACGATGACACACATCTTTATGTATTAGTGTCTCAGGCACAGGCCCAAAAAGAAAGTGTGGATGTTTAGGTCTCAAATGCAACATTATACTGATAAAAATAAGATGACAATAGTAGAAAATTCACTCACATTCCCAGAAGACACGTAATTCACCAAGTTTTGACTGAGTTCCCTTTGAATGCTCTTTCAGCACACTGACAATCATCATATTCATCCACCTGGGGGAGGGGGACAAAGCACAATCATGTTACAAAATGTTTTTCTGCACGTTGCGTGCAATTACACATTTCCAAATCTTACAATCTTTAATTGTACAAGACAGAATTATAAGAAAACAGACATCACCCACCGAATGGCTGCCTTCTAAAGTAGCTCCGTCTTTCCAAGCCTAATCCATGTCCATCCAATAAGTTTTTAGGCCCCAGACTGCATAAGAAAAGTACAAGAAAGTCGCTATGAGTCACAGCACAAGAAAGAAAAGAGAAACAGAAAGCATCTGTTGAAGAAAAGTCAAAATATTTCGGAAAAAGGATGGTACAACCATGAGGCTAGGTGATGCTAGCATGATGGATGCTAGCACAAAATCACAAACATCTGAGCAAGCGCCAGACACGAATGTCATCATCACTAAGATAAGAAAACTACAAAAGGAAATCAGCGACTCTTTGGAAAAGCTATTAGACAGTGTTGAGGGGCTCGATCAAACAGTACGTGGCCTCTCAGGCTGAATTTCAGAGGTGGAGGACCGAGTGAGTTTCATAGAGAACGGGCAAAACCGGACGGTGCGGCTGCTCTCCCATTTCATGCAGAGGGATAGGCAGATGGAAGTTAGATGTGAAGCTTTAGAAAATGCCCAACGGAGCGATAATCTGAGACTGTACGGAGTCAAAGAGAACTCAGAGGAAGGATACAGTCAAGTGGGTAGAAAAATTCTTGCGAGACATTTTGAAACTGCCACAAGACTTTCCTCTGAAACTTGAACAAGCACACTGTTCACTTTGGCAAAAACCGGGAGATGGAGATGCCAATCCGAGATCGATTGTAATGAAGTTTCACAGCTTCCAGACCAAACAGTACATTCTGAACAAAGCATGGCAAGAAAAGCACTTGACATTTAAGGGTAATAGAATCACCATGGATCATGACTACTCCCCAATGCTGTAGAGGAAAAGACGCAAATATGCAGACATTAAAAGGCAGCTACAGGCTAAAAACATCAAGTTCCAATCACCATATCCGGCCATGCTGAAAGTGCATGCCGATGGACAAACGAAAGTCTTTAATTCTGCATGGGAAGCTGCTGAGGGTCTGCGAGGATTGGGTATTACAGCAAAGCTTTTGGAAGATGAGCGGCTTGAGAGAGAGCTCCATCTCTCAGCATGGTGCACTACATTTACAAGAAACAAACGTGCTCGTGTGGAATGTAGGATTATCCAAGACATGAAAAGCCTCCTTGGTGACCTAAAAGACAAGCCCTAAACTGGTGAAAAACGGAAGCAATGCACAGTGTTTAACTAATGGCGGACTTCTTTTTTTTTTTCTTATGTGGGCACAAGTGGCGGCGCTAGTGCCCACATTTGCCTAAACTATCCGACTATGCCACTCTCAATTAAGGGATGAGAGCAACCTGAGTTAAAAATTATATAAAGAATGGACTGTTATACACTAACATCATTTATTGTTTTCCCCACAAGGTCTGCTCAAATAAATGAACATCAGATGGCAGATGTACCAGAAAATAACACTTTATTAAACTAATTCATAAAAACAACTAAACAAATAAAAGCTTAATGGCAATCAGGTTCCATCATTAAGTCTTAAACATACTTATATTACAACCTTCAATGATTCCCAAGCATTTAAGGAGTACCCACTGGGTTTAAAGCACAGCACTCCACCTCAAGTGACACAAAACACACAAGCAACCAGTAAATAAACCAGAACAAAATAAATCACAAATCCTCAATCCCAACACAAGACTCACTTGATATACCAATGGGTTTTAACCGTATCAACAAGGGAAATGGTAGGTTGCAATGTGGAAGACTTTATAATTTTATAATTCTAATTTAAAAGACAAAGTAAAACATTACAAAGCCACTATTTAAATCCCAACAGTAACAGCAGGCCAAAATAAACAAAACCAAAGAAATTACAATGACTTCCAGAACCATAAGAAACCAAACCATAAAGCAACTGGTCAGGCAAAATAAAACAAAGCAAAAAAAAAAAACTAACACAAACAGTGGCTAGTGCTTAGCTACGTACACGCTCCTGTGTAGTTCAACTGCCCCTATAACAGCAGCAGCTATTTACCACCTGGATACCCTCCCAGCATCCCAGGAGCACAATGAACAGTCATGGAGATTTTATGGCTCTGGTTGGAGTCATCTGAGAACAGGTTTCAAGTCTTTACACCAGGAACAACACCAATCATCCAAGGCCTTTACTGGCCTCTCACTAGCTCAAACTCAAGCTTCAACCACTTTGACGGCAGAAGGCAAGTGCAACCTTTGAGACAGAATATTTCTCCCTTTTCCCTGCAGGCACACCAGTCTCACAGGACAGGGGAACACGTTTTTCCCATGCACGCACACGCCACGAGCTACAAACTCAAGTGAGCCACAGGTGAGTTTAATAAAGAAGCAATGAAACGTTTGTAAGAGCTACCATGCCGCTGGGTCCTACTGTCCCTCAGTTAGCTGTAGTGCTGCTGGGTCTTACTGCCGTTGTATTAGCTATGGCTGCTGGGTCCTAGTGCCCCATAGTTTATACTCTCCTAGTTACACTTACAAAAAAGAAAAAGGGAAAAAAGCTTTACCAACGAACTTGCCGCTGCACTCATTGAACGTTGGGGCTGATTCAGTTTGGTAGTACTAAACGTGCCCCATTGACAGGGTTGCAAGACAGTTTTCAATTTCTTTTATTACCTGTATATTTAATTCTACATTTATCTTTGATCTGGACAGATATGTGGGCAAGGAGACAGATTCTGCAAGGCCAACAGTAGCCAGCAAGGACAGGTTCTCTGTTCTATCAGCTAATTACCCCCCCCACACACACACCCACAAACTTTTTTTTTCTATCCCCTTTTCTACTTCACAAAACGTCATGTTCAAATGCTATACCAAAGAAGAAGAAAAAATGTTTAATATTGTTCAGGATGTTCCATGCTTGTTCTGTATTGAAATGTTCAATTGTGACACCACTGGATCAACAAACAGCTTAGCAGTCATGTGTGCAGTTATGGCCTTACTCGTTAGAAGTTGCATGTTGTGTACTTTGTTTGTGCTATTAGCCTCCAATCTTCTACCCCCTCCCAAAACACATATACCTCAGGAAGTTAGTTCCTCACAAACTGCAAAGGTATAATGGGACTGATAAAAGTAGTTAGCTATAACGTTAATGGTTTACATAGCCACATTAAGAAAAAGAAAATTCTCACTCAACTAAAACATCTTAAATGTAGTGTAGCATTCCTGCAAGAAACTCATATGTCAGATAAGGAACATGAGAAATTGAGCAAAACATGGGCAAGTAAAGTTTTCTTCTTCTCTCATAGCTCAGGAATAAAAAGATGTGTAGCAATTTTAATAAATAGAAAATTGACCTTCATGGCCACTTCATCCTTCAAAGATTCAGAAGGCAGGTACATACTAGTGAATGGAGTTATAGATAGTGTCAGTGTATCTCTATGCAATATATATGCTCCTAATGAAGATGACTCTGAATTTATCAGAAAAGTCTTCAATCTTATTCTGGACAAAGCAACAGGTGTTCTTTTAATAGGAGGTGACTTTAATTGTGTTATGTGCCTGGCAACAGATAGGTCCCCATCACTGTCAACGTCCTATAGTAAGATGAGCAAAGTCTTAAAGCACTACTGCCAAGAGATGAGTCTAGTTGATGTATGGAGATACATGTTCCCCAGTGGTCGAGACAAATAGACATTCATCCTATTCACGTATTGATCTTTTTTTCACACCTAAATATGAGGCCTACAGAATGATTAACCGCAAGATTCTACCAATTATCCTTTCAGATCATGCCCCAGTAACTGTAGAATGGAATCTTAGTCTGGTGCTAGACATTGGAGACTAAATACATCTCTTCTTAATGATCCCAAATTCATTGAATTCATAGACAAGGAATTTAGAACCTATTTGGATTTCAATTCTAACCCAGAAACCTTACCAATTATGCTCTGGGACTGTGCAAAGGCCTACTTAAGGGGCCGTATTATAGCCTTTGCCTGTGCTAGAGAAAGGGAAAAAGAAGCTAAACAAATTGAATTAGAAAATAAAGTGAAGGCTCTTGAACAACAGCACAAGTCCAAGCAGTCAGCTTCACTGTTGCAATCACTTAAGGAAGCCTGTAGGGCCGGCTTGGACACTTTGTTGGCAGAAAAGGCAGAGGGACAGCTGCGCTTCGCCAAGCAACGTTTCTATGAGCAAGGATCTAGGGCAAGCCGTCTACTCGCGTTTCAAAAAAAAACACGAATCTTCTCGCGTAGTGGTAAAGATAAAATCAAATAAACCAGGAAAATTCTTGACTAAACCAGAAGAGATTTCTGAAGCATTTGCCACTTTCTATAGATCCCTGTATAAAAACACAGGAACTTCCTCTTGTGAAGAAGAGATTACATCTTTCCTAGACCAAACTAATTTAACAAAACTTCCTGAAACGGCAATGCAAGAGCTGGATAGTCCTATTGCTGAATGGGAGATTCGAGAAGCTATAGCGGTTTTAAAAAGTAATAAAAGCCCAGGCCCGGATGGATATGTTAATGAGTTTTATAAAAAATTCAAAGACATAATATTGCCCATTTTGTCACAAACATACAGCTGCGTACTGGACACTGGTCATCTAGCCCCCTCCTGGAGAGATGCCTTCATAACTGTTATTCATAAAGAAGGGAAGGATCCTACTGACTGCAGCTCATACAGGCCTATCTCACTCCATAATGGAGATCAAAAATTGCTAACAGCTATTCTTGCACGGCGATTAAACAAATATATCTCACAATTATACACCCAGACCAAACAGGACTTATAACAGGTCAGTATTCAGGTAATAATATCCGCAGACTTTTAAATATTATGACTCATGTCAGAGCCGGTGGAGAGGAAACTATTATATTATCCTTAGACGCGAAAAAAGCGTTTGATCGTCCTGGAGATTTCTTTTCTAAATTGTAACCCGTCTAGGATTTGGCCAAAATTTATTGAGTGGATTCGTATTATGTATTCAGAGCCAAGAGCTGCAGTTAGAGTTAATGGATACACATCCATTCGTTTTTTGTTGTCAAGAGGGGAACAGGCCAAGGGGATCCGTTGTCTCCTGCTCTCTTCACCACGTGCATCGAACCCCTGGCACAAATTATCAGAGATAGCAAAAATATACATGGAATTTTTGGAGCATAAAGT